TCTGGCTGAAGAGAGAGAATGGACAGAGTGATTCACTGGATTCTGCTGGGCTGTTTGGCCACCTCCTCCTTGGTCAGCCTTCTACTGGCAATGACACCAAATTATGATTAGGAGTTTCATAAAATTGCAGAACATAAAAGTAACTGCGCTGAAATGTTCCATGTGAGTAAGAGTCAATTCTTCAATCCGCTGACCCTCTTTAACCTGTTGGCAATTGTCCCATGGACTGTGTCATTGATCTCACCTTTTCTTTTAATTATGTCCCTACAGAGACATGTCAAGCAAATGAAACCTGGTGTTACAGGCTGTGGAGGTCCCAGCACAGAGGCCCAGGCGGGAGCCACGAAAACTATGACTTCATTTCTCTTCCTCCTTTTTGTGTGTTATGAGGTTTCCCTTTTGGCGACTTTTAGCCACCTTATGAAAGAAAGCAAGCTCGCTGTGATGTTTGGAGAAGCTATACCAATTCTCTATCCTTCTGGTCATTCACTCATTTTAATTATTGGGAATAACAAGCTGAGGCAGGCATCTATCAGGATGCCAAGATATGGCAAAGCGGCCTGCATGATGTGAAACCTTAGCTTTATACGTAAACTTGAAAACCAAATCTTGTTGCCTAATAAAAAAAATACATTCTTGGGGCGCCTGGGTGGCGCAGTCGGTTAAGCGTCCGACTTCAGCCAGGTCACGATCTCGCGGTCTGTGAGTTTGAGCCCCGCGTCGGGCTCTGGGCTGATGGCTCAGAGCCTGGAGCCTGTTTCCGATTCTGTGTCTCCCTCTCTCTCTGCCCTTCCCCCGTTCATGCTCTGTCTCTCTCTGTCCCAAAAATAAATTAAAAAAAAAACGTTGAAAAAAAAATTTTTTTAAAAAAAATACATTCTTGTTTCGTCCTGTTATCCCATTTATTTTGGGTACACATCTTGAAGTGTTCTTGAGGCCTATTAGCACATGAATGTATATATCCTTTCTGTGTCTTTACACCCCAGATTCTCACCTTCACTCTTTCCTCTGAGAATTTCAGAGCTCACACTTACTCTTTTTGCCGCCTTACTGCAGAGGTTAGGCATGTACTGCCTAGTTACTTTCTTTTAAGATTTTACTTTGGCCCATGGTAGAGTGCGCTGAACGGCACTGATTTTTTTTCTTTTTTCCCTATCACATATTTTCATTGCTGACCCTTAATTTTGCCCCCTTGGTGGCTCTGTTGGGTCATTCCCATTTGGATTATTAACTAGGAACTCGGATCTCCCCTGTCCCATGTCTGGTTCAGTTTCCCAGTTATGTATCTGTCTCCTCCCAAGTGAGTGAGGCTTTAGGTTGTCTCCTACATAACATATTCTGGCGGACCTTATTCTGGAAACTCCTATTCATTTTCCTTGAAATTAAGTTTCTGTACAGACAACTTGCTGTTCAGGCAGCAGTAGGATAACTCATTCAAGCATCTCTCTCTAAGGGTATTCCTAAGTGCTCTTCAGAATCTCGGTAAAAGGATGGGGTAAGTAATATCAATCAGACTGCTTTGCTCAGGTTCCTTTCTTAATAAGACCTGCAAGGGCTCTTACCACTCAAGACTCTAGAAAAGCAATTCATTGAGAAGAAATTAGCATACATTGTAGAGTGACTACATTGTAGAGTTACATTGTAGAGTAACTACATGCTATCAGTAAAAAAGCAATGTATGCCCTTAACACATACAGAGTAAATTACACGCACACAAAAAGAAGAAAAATAAAGAGTCACTACAAAAACCTCATTCTACTGTGAACAACAAATCCTTCCTTACTAGAGTAGCACCGAAACACTTGATCTGGCACGTCTAAATTCACGTCTGTTCCGATAATGACTGTGCATTTCAGCTCCCGCCATTTGCTATGTCAAATTCTGGTCTATTTCAATCTACTCATTTCCTTTTGTTATAACTAAAATATTAATTGCCTGAAGATTATCAATTTTTCTGCATATGATGATGTAAAATTCACTCCCTAAAGTCCCAATGTTTACAGTCTTATGTATATAAACTTAATCAACTATATTTCTAATATCCTAGCATTTCAGATGTTATTTGTTGTACGAGACAGGAGAACTGATGTTCTCTTGATGGGATAAATTAGTGTATTCTGCAAAATATCTGCTAATTCTTCACTGAAACGAACTTTAAATTCTTCTGCAGGTTTAGATGCAATAAATATTTTATAAGATTAGTACTTCTGGGAAGGTTTCCCTCCATTAGTCTGAAGTCCTTTCCTCCATATTTAGTTTTCTGTATCTCCAGTGCTTGAAATACCTCCACCGACCATGACCGGGGTTCAAAGTAGTAAGCTGGTGACCAAACCCTCTCGCACAAAATTTTTTTTTCTGTTTTCTTTACTGTTTTTTTTTTTTTTTAATTGTAGTTAGGGCATTTAATATGAGATCTACGTTTTTCACAAATCTTTAAGCGTACACAGTATGGTTAACAGTTGTTAACTGTAAGCACAATATTGTAGAGCATATCTCTAGAACCTATATTTCTCACATAACTGAAACTTGATACTCATCGGATAGCAAGTCACCATTCTTATGTCCCTTCGGGCCCTGGCAGCCACTGTTTTGCTGTTTGCTTTTATGATTTGACTATTCTAGATACGCATATGAGTGGAACTGGGCAATATTTGTCCTTCTTGTAACTACCTTATTTCACTTAGCCCAATGTCTTCCAGGTCCACCCGTGTGTTTGCATATTGCAAGATTTTCTTCTCTTTAAGACTGAATGATAATCCATTGTCTGTATGTAACACATTTTCTTTATTCACTCATATGTCAGGGGGCAATTAGGGTGCTTCTACATTTAGCTGTCGTGAATAATGCTGCAATAAACGTGAGTGCAAATATCACGTTGAGACCCCGATTTCAATTTATTTATTGTTTTAAGTTTATGGATTTTGAGAGAGAGAGAGAAAGAGTATGCATGGAGGAGGGGCAGAGAGAGAGAGGGAGAGACAGAATCCCAAGCAGACTCACTGTCAGTGCAGAACCCAGTATGGGGCTCGATCTCACAAAATTGTGAGGTCATGACCTGAGCCGAAATCCAGAGTTGGATGGTTAATCAACTGAGCCACCCTAGCACTCCATTATTTAAATTCTTTTAGATAAATACCCAGAATCGGTCTTGCTGGATCATATGATAGTTGTATTTTTAATCTTTCAAGGAACTTTCATCCTGCTTTCATAGTACCGGCACCATAAATTCCATGCTATACTACACAGCTATGTATAAAATCTACTCTCACTTGCAAACAAACAAAAAACGTATTCTAAAATTTATTTCGGTAAAGGTATGATTATAGTTACTGAAGGCCCTTTATTTACCAGGACACTATGGAAAAAGAAATGATGTACTTGGGTCAGGGATCATTTCTAAGCTCAGAGGAAAGCAGTCATCTGTGAAGATGGCTACAGAATGAGGCATGTTTCCCCCCCCCCCAAATCAGAGCTGCATCTCAGGAATGAAGGTTTGTCCTTTGAGGATGGATGAGAAGATATGTGTTCCCAAAGAAGGTATGAGCACCCCTAGAATTATTCCGTGGAAACACTATGTTGCAAAGTGTTTCTCAGTAACTCTAAATTTAGAGAAGCTGCATAAAGGTAAGAGTTCGTCTGTAGGAATGAGGTAAATTTCATCATCGGTCTCCTGCCGAATAGTCTAGAAGAGCTAAGGATGTAGATTCTCAGATACAATTTGGCATGGCAGAGGGCAGAGAGTAGATCAAAATACAAGATTGTGCTCTCTTCTTTCATGTGTACAACTGCCCTTGAGTACCTTTTAAATGAAAAGGGAAAATATAAAGGTAATCGATATTGTTTTTTATTATGACTCCTTCATCTCATTATATATATATATATATATATATATATATATAGCATCACAGGGGTGCTTGGGTGGCTCATTCCGTTAAGCGTCTGACTTCAGCTCAAGTCATGATCTTGTGGTCTGTGAGTTCGAGCCCCACATCAGGCTCTGTGCTGACAGCTCAGAGCCTGGAGCCTACTTCAGATTCTGTCTCCCTCCCTCTCTGCCCCACCCCTGCTCATGCTCTGTCTCTCCCTCTCTCTCTCTCAAAAATAAATAAACATTAAAAAAATAAAAATAAATATAGCATCACAAACTAAATGACCATTAAATGTCACTTGACTAATAAGACAATGCATTATGATATGAAACCTTGTGCATGTTCATCTGAACAACCAAGATAAATGAGCTAAAATATTTTTCAGAACCAAATAATCTATATTTAGTGTTAACCTTTTAAATTCCCTGAAAATCTATGGTTTTGAATGTTAACCCAAACTTTAGATTTTTAGTAGTAATCAATATTATCATTTTGCAAAGTGAATTTCGATTTTGGCCCATTTTCTATTTGCTAGAAAATCCTTGGAGGTTAGATTTGCCAGATAAAACACAGGATACCCAATTAAATTTGAACTTCAGCAATCTCATGTGATTAGTACATACGCTAAAAAAAAAAAAAAAAAAAAAAATCATTCATTGTTTATTTGAAATTCAAGTTTAACTGGGTGTCCTGTGTTTCTATTTGCTAAATCTAGCAGTCCTACTGAGGTTACTAGTATGTGCCACAGATTAATGAATCCCAAGCTTACAAAAAACATAGCCTTAGAAAGACAGTGCAGGATCATGAAAGGGAACGGGTCTAATTTGCATCCTAAAATGTAGCTCAGCCTAAACTGGCCATGTGTGGAAAAGTAAAACCTGCTGATACAGGTTTTACATACACGTGATACACGAGGTGGCCAGGCCAGGGATTACCAATCACATTAACTTCTCAAGACTGATAAGGATTTAATGATCATAGCTTCAGTCTTTACTTATCATTCCAGTCTCCATCCCAAGAGAGACTACAATAAGAGAGGTAAAGAAAATTACAACAAAGTCCAAGAAGTAGGTGTACCTATCAAACTACATCAGTCCAACTAGGAACGGTTGGAGATTTCTGTATTTTACCATGCTGGATACAGTGGAGAGCACCTTGATGCTCATAGCAGCCGGAGAATTTGCAATGGGGATTTTAGGGAATGCATTCATTGGATTGGTAAACTGCATGAACTGGATCAAGAATAGGAAGCTTGCCTCCATTGACTTAATCCTCACAAGTCTGGCCATATCCAGAATTTGTCTATTATGTATCATACTATTAGACTATTTTATACTGGGGCTGTATCCAGATGTCTACACTACCGGTAAAAAAATGAGAATCATTGACTTCTTCTGGACGCTCACCAACCACCTAAATGTCTGGTTTGCCACCTGCCTCAGCATTTTCTATTTCCTCAAGATCGCGAATTTCTTCCATCCCCTTTTCCTCTGGATGAAGTGGAAAATTGACAGTGCGATTCCTAGGATCCTGCTGGGATGCTTGGCCTTCTCTGTGTTTATTAGCCTTGTTGTCTCTGAGAATCTGAACGATGATTTCAGGTCTTGTGTTAAGGTAAAGAAGAAAACAAACATAACTGTGAAATGCAGAGTAAATAAAGCCCAATATGCTTCCGTCAAGATTTGCCTCAACCTGTTGACGCTATTCCCCTTTTCCGTGTCCGTGATCTCATTTCTCCTCTTGCTCCTCTCCCTGTGGAGACATACCAGGCAGATGAAGGTCAGTGCCACGGGGTGCAGGGACCCCAGCATAGAAGCCCATGTGGGAGCCATGAAAGCTGTCATCTCCTTCCTCCTCCTTTTCATTGCTTACTATTTGGCCTTTCTTGTAGCCACCTCCAGCTACTTTATGCCAGAGACTGAATTAGCTGTGATGATTGGTGAGTTGATAGCTCTCATCTATCCAAGCCATTCATTGATTCTAATTCTGGGGAACAATAAATTACGGCAGGCGTCTCTAAGGGTGCTGTGGAAAGTAAAGTGTATCCTAAAAAGAAGAAATCACTAATCACCACAAATGGATCTGAAGGCTATCATTTACTAGGAAGGAAGACATGATGTTTCTTAGCGGTCTTCAGTTCTTGCATTAATGTTGGTTTCATATGGTTAATTACTCTTAAATATATTTAATGTAACTATAGTTGTAACTTAGGAAATCCCATGTAGAGACGATTTTGCCTCTTTCTCTTTGTCTCTTGCTCTTCTCTCTCTCTCTCTCTCTCTCCTTCCTTTCAGAGTTTTTTTTTTTAAACATGTTTCAGAAAATATAAAAGTTAATATCCTAATATCAACTGTCAGAGGAGAGAGTATTTTCATAGTTAGGTCTAAATCATTTCTCTAGATGCAAAATTGTACAACAAATTCAGAACAACTGTAATAGCATCCCCTTGTTATTTGCATTCTTATGAAAAGCAACTCACTCAGTCCCCATGATCCTAGTTACACTATTTTTCTCAGATCATCTGACTAGTCTCCAACTTCGGAAAAAGCTCAGTATGGTGACAGCCTTAATCAAATGTTATGTAATTCTAGGAATGCGGCAGAAATTAATACTGATTATTAACACAAGCAAGATATGTATTGTGATTAAAATAAATACTGTCACAGCAAGTTCAAAAATTATTTTAGACTATAGATGAATGAAAGATTCTCTATCTGTGTGAGAGAAGGAGAGTTTATATAGAAAGTTTCTATAAAACAAGGTTGGCTAAAAAAAGAACTATTTATTGCTTATTGAAGTATATTTCTCCCCCCAAACAACGTGTAAGTTTGCTTTTAGCAGACTAGGACTATAGCAGGAACTGATTGTCGTGATACCCTCATAAGATGAGATCTTCAATCAAAAACTTATGTACTGAGATGTTAAAACGTCAAAACTGTCAAAGGAGACATTGATTCAATACGGAGCATCTCTACATTCCAGAATACTATTTGGATCATACATAAGTTATCTATGAAATGTCTATTTGGGAAACTTCAACAACAGCATGTCATTTACGTTGCGGAAAGGATATTGCGGAGGGATTGACCCTGTTATTAACCAGCCTTGAGTAGCCATAAACTTTGCGCGGAGAAGAGAAAATGTTTATAAATATTCTCATCAATAACTTTGGCAAAAATAAAAATTACTTCCACCTGAGTTTCATATGTTAATCTTTCTTCTCTGAATCTGACAGTGCAAGATACAAATTGATTAAACCGATAGATTTAAAAAGATGTATATTGACTGCCTTGTAAGTTAAAGAAACAATAGACAATTAGATGCATAAACCGAAGCTTACATTCTTTTCAATATTGACTTAAAGAGTACCTGTCCCCACCACCCACCTATGCAGAGACCAATTTATATAGATTTATTAGGCAAGGGAACAACAACAACAACAACAACAAAAACCCCCGAGGGCTAAAGGAAATCCTGGAAACTTCATGTTTGATGTCTTCATATTGTGGACCCTAGAAACTTGATCATCTACTCACATTACAAAAATAACACCTCAGTATCCAATTTCTCTGAATAACAGCCAGGCAAAGGATACTAAGGTGGAAATAGAAGCCATATTAGGAATATCTTACTATACATAATTCCACTTACTGGCGTATTGAGGATGAAAATGATGTAGCCAAAACAAGTGGTTTAGCTTCTGAGATTATATTAATTCGGAGAAATCATGCAAAAATGGTAATAACTCTGAGTTGAAAGAAGCATCTGTACTACTTCTTTAACTCCTGGTGTTTGGAGTAGAGTTTTTTAGGCTTACTCTAAGAGAACGAACGTAGCCAACTGGTTACAGAAAGTGCAGACAAATTACTTCTTTTTGTTTGCTTGTTTGTTTGTTTATTCATTTTGGGGGGGAGGGGCAGAGAGAGAGGGAGACACAGAATTGGAAGCAGGCTCCAGGCTCCGAGCTGCCAGCACAGAGCCCCGCGTGCGGGGCTCAAATTCTCAAACCGTGAGATCATGACCTGAGCCAAAATCGGTCGTTTAAGTGGCCGAGCCACCCTGGTGCCCCTTCCTTCTTGTTTTTATTTCTTACTTAATAAATACATACACACTCACACGTTGAACATCTGCGTGTTAAGCATGACCCTGGGTGCTATAAATACAGATGAAATGTGATAAAGTCCATGCTCTCACGTAATGCATAGTCATGGAAAACATTATGGAAGACTGATAACGATCAAGTAAACAAACTCAGGGTTATAAGTCATGACTGATGCAACTGAGAATAACTGGAGGAGAGGAATTGCTTTACATAGTGTAGTCAGACTAGACCTACCTGAGACACTGAGATTTCAAGCCGAAACTTGAGTCACAATTATAACCCCGTCATGCGCCATCTTGGACAAATAATATCCTGGTGAGTGCCAGTACCCTGAGGAGCAAGTGTTTGAAGAAGTAAGAGCAGAGTAGGACCAGAGAAAGGGGTGACTGGCAGGATTGTAAAAAGCCATGTAGGTCATCAGAGGGAATTTAGATTTAAGTATAATGGGAACGGGCACCTGGGTGGCTCAGTCTTCTGACTTCGGCTCAGGTCATGATCTCATGGTCCGTGAGTTGGAGCCCCCCGTGAGTTGGAGCCAGCACAGAGTTGGGCTCTGTGCTGATGGCTGAAGGCCTGGAGCCTGCTTCAGATTCTGTGTCTCCCTCTCTCCCTGCCCCTCACCCACTCATGCTCTGTCTCTCTCTATCAAAAAATGAATAAATGTTAAACAACATTTTTTTTAAGTGTAATGGGAAGACATCGAAGGAATTGAAACTATATGTAATATAATTTCACTTATATGTAGACTTCAGCTTACTTTGGTTATAAGAATAGATATGGTATGTGTTGAATGGGGAGGAGTACAATTAAGGGGACCAACTAGTAAGTTATAGTATAGTAAGCGGTCCCTGTGAGAAATCATAGTGGCTCAGATTTGGATGGTGGTAATAGACTTAAGACTCTTTTTTTAAGAGACACACACTTACTTTCCTTTAATTTTAATTTTTTTTTTTTTGAGAGAGAGAGAGAGAGCTTGTGCACAAGTGGGGGAGGGGCAGAGAGAGAAGGAGAGAGCAGGCTCCAGGCTCAGCTTGGAGCTCGATGTGGGACTCGATCCCACGACCGTGAGATCATGACCCGAGCCAAAATCAAGAGTCAGGCGCTTAACCCACTGAGCCACCCAGGCACCTCAAGACTTTTTAAAATTTAAATATTTTTATTTTTCTACGTAATCTCTACACCCCATATGGGACTCCAATTTTAGTATATGTGCTGCCGAAGCGAGCACAACCCCCATATGGGACTCCAACTCACAACCCCGAGATCAAGAGTCACAGGGTGCACTGACTGAGCCAGCCAGGCGCCCTGAGTTAAGACCTTTTTATTTTTTTAAATTTTTTCAACGTTTATTTATTTTTGAGACAGAGAGAGACAGAGCATGAACGGGGGAGGGGCAGAGAGAGAGAAGGAGACACAGAACCGGAAGCAGGCTCCAGGCTCCGAGCCGTCAGCCCAGAGCCCGACGCGGGGCTCAGACTCGCGGACCGCGAGATGGTGACCTGAGCTGAAGTCGGACGCTCACCCGACTGCGCCACCCAGGCGCCCCGAGTTAGGACCTTTTTAAATGGATGAATTCTATATGTTCTACAGGTAAAGCAGATCAGTCTTATTACTTGGCTAGATGAAGGGAAGGAATTGAAGAAAAAGAAGATTCCGAAAACTTTTAGATTGTTTTTACGTTAGCATTTGAGGCGACCCTGCCACCTAAAATGGAGTGGCAAATGTTAATAAGGGGTGGGAGGGCAAAAATAAAAAAAACTATTTTTTTTTTTAACATTTAACATTTTAGAGGTCTATGAAATAACCAAGTGAAAATGTCAAATAGATAGCTGAATATATGAATCTGTACCTAAGGATTGAAATAACCGATAAATATTTGGACATCATCGACACATAAATGGGATTACCTAAAAAAGTTATAGAGAAGTGACACCAGATCTAAACCCTGAGATATTCAAATCGTTGGAGGTTAAATTACAGAGAAAGGACCAGCAGAAGAAGACAAGAAAGAGCTCCGAGGAAGATGCGAAAACAAGGACGGAATGTCTGGTTGAACGGAAGCAAGGGATGTCATTGTGTTAGGAGGAGGGAGAGGTCAGCTTTCAAATGATGCTGAGAAAAACGGTAAAATTGGGAAAACAAAGTCACCATTGGTTTTGGCAAGATGGATGCAATTGATGATCCAATGGCAAGAGCAATATTAGTGAAGCGTAGGGACAGAAGCTAGGTTCCGTGGAAAAGGTTTAGGAGGGAATACAATATGAGAGAGCAGAGAGATGGTGAATGTATAACATTTTAGTAAGTTTTGTTATTAAGGAGAGTAGAGAACAGAACATGGGAGCGAGACAAAATTTTCGTGTTTTCACTGGTTTTGTTTTTAAGTTGGATGATACAGTGTGTGCCTGCAAATTGAAATGATTCAATAGAGAAAGGAATAATAATATAGGAGAGGGGTAGTAATTGCTGGGGCAATGATGTTAAAATCATTATCTCTGACGTTAAAAGGTGGAACCCTCAGACCCAAGATCGGGCTCTTTAGGTGGATGAACCTAAAGATATGAAACGTCCAGATTTCCTGGAACCCTCGGGGCCAGCAAGGGCAAACCCTTACCACTTACAAGAGCAGGAGAGCGTCCCCACTCCTGAAAACTGTTCAATTGACTCCGTTTGAGCCAAGTGAACATTTATTCTGCTCAAGAAATGTCCTGCCACTCCTCATCACTTCAGGACAAAGTTTCAACACAGCCTAATAAGGTAAGTTCCAACTTACCTAATAAGGTAAGTTCCAAAAGAATATAGCTTCAAGCTAATACTAGCACATGTTGTTAACATTATCAGCAGAAATAATAGAACATACTGGACACGGGTCTTGAGAGTGATGGATCAAAAGGTTCTCTTTATGCCGTCTGGGTATGGAGAATTTGTTGACCTGGGCACCCTCCATAATGATTTAGGGTTCGGATTC